TCCTTGGCGGTACTGCGTTATTCATCCTATTTGTTTCGACGTCAGCGTACGAACTCGTTCTCTCTAGACTGCTGTCATCACTGTAGAGATCTGATGGACATTTATGCTAGGAGTTTACTTGGGAACAATCTGCAACAGTTCTTCCCGCTCGACGTAGATTGCTGCACGCGGCCGGCCCGTAGTTTTGATGGATCACAAGCTTGTCTAGTAATTCGTGGGCACGGGTTCGAGGCTGCGTAGGCACCGGACGACCCTCGCAGTATCTTTAGCCCACCAGCGACCGGTAGCGGTAGCGCGGCAACGTAGCGTCGGTACTGCCTACAGGCGTGCCTCTAATGCCATTTTTGCTTTCTGCTGCACAGGGTCACGGTTAAGAGTTACTTAAACCGAAGAAATATCACGTCCTCTCCAATGTCATGCTATCCATTCAGATCGTGAATGAATGGAATACTCTTCTGGAACGCGTTGTCAACGCCCAGACGGAGGAATGCTTCAAACGGCAGTTGGATAGTCACATGATGAACCCGTTTGGATTCCGCTGTTTTTACTGCAGCTGTAACGATTATTTGTGGACCGCAATTTAGTAACGACGTGTGTTATCCAGCTAATAAACTGAAGGTGATGGGGCTGACATAAGTCTTGTACTCTTTACAGCGCCACGAGTTATAGACTACGAAGTTCACTGTTTCCACACCTTCGTGAGAGCAAAGTGGCTCAACGGTCACGAAACTTTTACCTGTTCGCACAACCTATGTTCAGATGCTGTCAGTTTTTGGTAAACCTTCGCTCCGCTGTCTCGCTGTTGTACGACATTAACACTACATTAATAATGATAACGTTCGTCGACGCATTTTTATATTAGACAAAATCTGCTGACTTTTTCTTCAAACGTAAACTTCCTCCTGCATTGGCCGTTGCGCAGATTATCAAGAGTTGCCTTATCTGCTGCATACAGCAGAGCGCATAAGCGAAAACATGCTACTGCTGGCGCCTCCCTTCTTTCTTTTTCACCTGTTTCTCTTACTTCCATCCCGACCCCCATTACTAACCTTCTTTCTATAATTCCAAGCTTAATTGACAGCAACCGAAGTGCCACTGGAGTAGAACCATCTGCAGCCACCTTCTCGGGACACCCGCCGGACGCCTATCGGCGGCAGTCCCTTATAAGGCCCCGCTGTCCGGTTTCCATGGCGACATTCAACCTTCGCACTCTAAGACAAATAGGTAAACAGGCTGCATTCGCACGCACCTTGGACACACTGGGTATTAATGTGTGTTGTGTGTTCGAAACTAGGATCAATGACCCTAATGGGGTTATTGAATTAACTGCACCCGGCTTTTCCTCTCGTTATTGGTTGCACTCATCCGCAAACACCGATGCAGCACTCACAAGTCAAGCTGGTGTTGGTATCATTATAAGAACCAAGGCTCGGCCATCATTGGTTGATTGGATTCCGGTTAACAGCCGTTTATGTGCAGCCCGTTTGACGACAACAGCTGTTGATTTCGGAACAAGTACAAAACGCTGTTTGTTTTTTATTTCCGCGTATGCTTCTGCCGACTGCAGTTCTAATGCTGTCAAGGACACATTCTATCACGAACTGTGTGCCCTACTACGCAGTGCTACTAATTCACATATTGTAGTATTTGCACGGGGTATGAACGCACAAGTAGGGCGTCAGCTCTTCAGAAGCTCAGCTGGGTGGTAACTATGGGTCTAACTCAGAACGGACTGACAACGGTGAGCGTCTGCTGCAACTGTGTGCGGAGCACCAGTTGTTTCTTAGTATCACTGCTTTTAGACACAGTGGGCGCCGAAATGCTACTTGGCGTCCTCATGTGGCTGGCCAGCGATGGACCTAAATTGACCACATAGCCATAAGTTCCAGGTGGCGTGGTTCTATCCTGGATTGTTGCTCGTACTGGAATATCTGCGTCGACTCTGATCATGCTTTGGTACGCTGTCGTTTGTCCATAGACTTTACCTGGAAACGCACCAAGCGTCCCCTCCGCTTGGCAACTGAGAAATTGTCTCAGCCCTCGGTCAGGCAAGCCTATCAAGACGCACTGCATACCGAGCTGTCTTGTTCTAATGACACTGAGATTCAGTGGAATAGGATCTCGGTCGTCATGCACGACACAAGAGCATCTGCTTATGGCACTGTCAATCGTCACTGCACCAGCCACTGGATATCCGAGAGGTCGATGAACCTGTTGGAATCTAAAAGAAATCTCCCGACTGGCTGTAAGCAAAATGTGACCAGACGGGCAATTAGGCGCGAACTAAAGCAGAGCCTACGTGCTGACAAGGAAGCCTGGTGGACCAGTCGGGCTCAAGAAATGGAGGAGGCAGGAGCAGTAGGCAATAACCGGAAGTTCTTCCAGCTGATCCGCACCACTGGGCCCAGGAAACCAGGCATCAGTGAGACAATCAGAGGCAGTACGGGTGCACTGATCCACAATAAGGAGCGTCGTATGATTCGTTGGGCGGAACACTTTCAAGATCAGTTAGCTAGCCCCTTGCTCCCGGACATCTTCCTACTCGAGTGATGCAGGACGAGCTATGGACGATTAGTTTAGAGCCTCGGTCGGAGGCCGAGGTCCGAAACTCGATCACAGCCCTCAATCGTTTTCGTGCCGCTGGCCCGAATTTCCTCCCACCTGCACTATTTAATGATGAAGGTGAGGTCTTCTGCAAAGCACTGACCTCCTTATTCGGATGTATCTGAAAGGAAGAGTGTCCCGACTGATTGGAGCGAATCGATGATAGTGGTACTATACAAGAAGGGTAGTCGGCCGGACTGTTCTAACCACAGCGGTGTTAGCCTAACGCCAGTTGTGACAAAATTATTGGCCTCGATTCTCGTTCGGCGCCTTACAGTAGAACGGGAATCTCGGATTAGGGAAGAGTAAGCCGGTTTCCGCACGGGGCTTGACTGTATAGACCATATATTCACTGTGCTGCAGGTGCTAGAGCAGCGCCACGCATACCGCAGGCTGACAATAGCTGTGCTCCTCGATCTCAAGGGTGCGTTCGATTCAGTCGATCGATCGATTCTGTTCGAAATACTTGCGCGGAAAGGTGTTCCCACGAAACATATGAATATCCTTCGTGCTGTATACTCGAACACTGCCGGCTGCGTCAGGGTCTACGGTGTCCTATCGGGTAGCTTTCTGACTACAAGTGGCGTTCGTCAGGGTTGCCTGATTTCCCTGTTTTTGTTCAATTTCTTCGTGGATTCCATCATGGAGTGTTCCCTTGCGGAATCTCACGATGTAGGCAGGCGGTGAAGGGCCGCTTGGTGAAAACTTAGTTGATGTAGATTGTGCGGATGATATCGTCTTGCTTTTCCAAGATGTTGGGGCGGCACAATCAACCCTGAATAGTCTGTCCAGAGTGGTCCCATTATTTGGTATGCACTTCACACCTTCAAAATGCTAAGTGTTGCTGCAGGACCACCAGCCAATTGATGACCCCCTGACGCTTGCTAACCAGGAACTCGAGGTGGTTGATCATTTCACTTGTCTTGTCAGCTGCATCAGCAATGATGGGCGCATAGAAACTGACGTCAGCTCATGCATTGCAAAAGCCAGAGCTACCTTCTTGAACCTGTGGCATCTTTGGCTACAGAAGAGAGTTTTTCTTCGTCTGAAAGGCCGGGTATACAAGGCCACAGTGAGGGCCGTTCTGCTGTATGGTAGTGGGACTTGGCCCCTTCGGTCTGCAGATCTGAGGTGCCTTCAAGTCTTTGATCATCGTCGCCTACGAAGCATTGCTGGAGTCGGATGGCACCAGCGTGTCCGCAGCGATGATGTGCGTAGGCGAGTACTAGATAGTGATAATCATCCTAGCTCCCTAGAACAACAGATAGCACTGAATAAGTTGCGTTGGCTCGGTCACGGGCTACGTATGCCTGGTCACCGCTTACATAGGAGGGCTTTGTTTAGTTTGTCAGGTGTAGGGTGGCGCAAGGCTCGCGGTGGACAAAAGTTGACTTGGCAACGGGAAATGAAGTCGCTGACGACCAAACTGACTACCGTTGGTCCGTCTTGCCTTCCAGGCTGGAGTCCACGTGACTCACCTTGTACTTGGCATGAGACTTGACAGGACTTGGCTCGCAGTAGACACCATTGGCGTGTCTACTGCCGTCTCCTGATCGGATTGCCTGTTTAAAGTGTGTTTGGTGCTGAGTTATCTGCTGGGTAGGGGCTGATTATGACGCGTGGTAGTGAAAGTCGCAAGGAAGCTGTCTCGCCGATGCCGCCTTATCTTTGTACAATAGCCAGCTGTTTGTGACGGTGTGTTGTCTACACAAGGTGTAGGCGCCTTGACCCTGAATGTTTGCTTAGGGCATGAAGATTTTCAGGTAATTCCCCCTCTTCCCGTCCCATTATCTTTTATTTCATAGGTCCTCATGGTTGTATGGCAGCGAAGCATCAGTTCAAATGGCTGATGTACTGTTGTTGATGAAGCACTACTGACCTGCTCTATTTCACTGTAAGTTTTCCGTGGCCTGGACATGTGATTCCCAAAGTACCTCTGCGTTTGCCTCACCGTGCCCTTTTGCATGCGTTAAAATCGGCTGAAAGGGAAAACTAGGAGGCCAACAGGTGAGTTGGGCCCAAAGTTTGAAGGCGCTGGCTTCAAAGTTGGACGTTGCAGGACGCTGGCAACTCCCGAGCTGGTAATGCAAAATCTTCACACACGTCTGGTTGGAAACTCTGTCGCACATGGATAGAACACGCGCTCAATGACGGACATTTTGCGATAACCCACTCCCATGACTACGATTTTACTATTTTTCTCTCTTCGTCGCATTGTATTTATCGATATTTTGACACTTTGTCCGTTGTACCACACTTGATCACGTGTCATATATTTATACCTATATATTTACATATATAGCGCAGTAGAGACAAATCTCGCGTACTTATACTCCATGCGCTTACAGCTCCTACGTCTATCTTAATGCATACCCTTATGTGTTTCCGTTTTCCAGATCCACTGGGTATTTCTGGTTACTAAAGTACTAGCAATCCGAGGTGCTTTTACTTAGAACTACCAACGATGGGTAGGACGTATCTTCCTGTTGGGTAAGTTTTGATATCGTACATGCCCCTTGGTTTTGCGTTCTCTTACTCCTATTTCATTAAACGATGTTACATTAGTACAATTTTAACGCAGGTTCTTCTACCTTTGTTAAGGTCTATGTGTTTTCGCTTAGCTGGACACATGTGTGTGGGTTTCATCCCCCATATATATATATATATATATATATATATATATATATATATATATATGATGATTCGGCGGCGTCCGTATCCGGATTTGCCTGTCACTGTGATGTCCATGGGACAGTCACAGGACGCCTGCGCCTACAGAAGGACCATGGGTGGCTTGCGCTGCACCACCCATAGTTCCATCCACACACCCCATATCCGGTGTAAACCCGAAGGAATAAGACCGGGAGGCATGCGAATGGGAGCCACGTTTCATCAACGGAGCCGGCCCACACTCCTTCAACAAGCAGAACGGAAGCATTCCAGCCTAATTGGGAATTCATACACACCAGACGTACACGAGGCGGTGGCTGGACCGTAGCCCGTTCCACACAGGTTGCATGGAACCACTCTTTGAGCCTAGCACCGTCACGAGGACGGTGCACTCCGTCCCCTCCAGCGACGACCAACTGTCTCCTGGAGCCAGTATGGACGAGGTAGTGGGTAATAGACAGGTAGGCACCTTGTCAACATTCACATCAGGCGCATCCACACAGGGGAGCTCAAGCAACATCTACTTCTGAAATGCAAGATTATTCATCACGCAGGCAAACGTACCACATACGCTGCCTTATTGGCCTGGATTAGTAAATTGAATGGGAACATACTCATGGTGCTTCTATTCCGCGTACAATTGTGCCTTCTCCGGCACCTGAGAAACCGCCATTTTCAGTAGTTCACGGAATTCGCATCGATCAAATTTGCCTTGGATTCGCAACACCTGAAATCAACATGAGTTTATCATAAACTCACCTTCCTCATGTTCTGGTAATATTATTTTCGGTTTGCTCGAATGTCGTTCTACTGCACCAAGTTAACCGTACAAAAGCGGTATGAAGATCCTCGTGGAATTCATTCGGTATACATATATACATAGATTGGCGTCATCTTTGTCCAATGGCAGTTCGAATGCAACATATGTACATGCGTTTATGCAAACTTAAGTGTGAGCTGTCACAAAGTGGATAGAGACACATTAGACATCATCATCAATGGTACGACAAACGTGTATGGGTTTCGTTTGGAGGTCAGGCTAACAACCACTTTTGCAGGTATGAGAATAACTACCCCATACGAACGGTTGATGTTTTCTTCCACATTTAGACCTGACTGCCTTAAATCTTGGGCATCCATATTTAAAGGAATCCGATGTGGCAATAGTAAAGCAACTGCTAGGTAGAATGATGACTAGACTATTGATACAGTGAAATAGTGTGCACTTAGGTGTTGCCCTCTACATGTACAGTCTGGTTTGAGTAGCTGATGTGGGAGATCACACAGCATGTCGAATGCGATACAGTGTCCACTTCTGGCTCTCTGTGTCTCCGACCGGTTCGGTCATGTGCTGCCCGAGGCATGTGCACCTACTCAAAGAACGATTGATGCGCAACCTTTGGTATTGACAAGTGACATCAACTAAGTCCCGCTGCCCACTGTCAAACATGCGACTTTCCAAACAGTGTTCACATTTATTGTGCAAATGTCCAAGTACTCAACCGTTTATACCTACCGACCTGTACTCTACTGTGGCCATAAGCTATTTGCTAACTGTCTATATCGTACGTTCCAGGTGCAGCCCATTCGGTACTCATAAAACCATTGTCGCTATGCGCCGATTCATTTCCGATGTTATATAATGACACACTGACGTAGCATTCCCGTTAGATGCAACCTTTTATTTAATCCATTCAAAAGATTGGCCATGTGCAATGCAACTTCTGGTAGGCGTCTCTGCACGTCTGCCTTCCATCCGGTTAATACGTGTGTTTTCATAGGCCCCCGGTAAATTCAGTATGGCTGAGGGATAACTGGAACTATAACTATACTCACTCTCATCACTAGCCTGCGGAGTGGAATATGGAATGGCAATATCGTGATAATCGCTAGTCGGTTAATTGTCGGGATTGTTCACTTGACACAGATTTTCCAGGGAAATTTCTCTTCGAATGCATAATCCAAAGTGGTCACACGAAGGACAATCGTTGAGCATTGTGTTACAAATGTCAAATTTGACATTTTACACGTACTGTAAACGGCCAAGCGATGATAACCTTTCGATTCAAACGTATCCATCGAACTGGAAACATACACAATAATTTGCCACCCTAGCATTGATCCGGAGCAAGCACACAAATCGCTCAGAAATACCGCACTCACATCAATTACGAATGAGCTCATGGATGGACTGAACCATTATTCTGCGATGCACCGGATTTCTAAGCGTCAGGCAAGTTAGCATTGAGCAGCTAGTCAAGCTACAGTTATGGTGAGCAATACCATGGAGCTGACATAGTGATATGAATCACGGCCGAATAATAATACCAAAATGAAGATGTCATAGCTCACTCTCGGTATGTAACCATACTAGACGCTGCTTGCGGAGGTAGCAAGAATAGTATAGCATAGATCATGATGAGCACAATATCGTAATGGGCAACACATGAAGTCATCGCGGAATACAACCGGGTTAAATAAGCCTAAAAAAGTTAGGTTACCTGTGGCTTATCCATTCTATGCAGGTGCAATAAAGATACCACATTGCACCAAGTCGGTAGTTAATCATTCTAGAATGAAACTACTATATATATATATATATATATATATATATATATATATATATATATATATATATATATATATATATATATATATATATATATATATATATATATATATATATATATGGGGGATGAAACCCACACACATGTGTGGGCGGCATCCGGTTTCGGATTTGCCCGTCACTATGGCCAGCCACAGGACGCCTGCGCCTTGTTGGGTGGAGACTGGGATACTAGTCGGTAATCAGTGACACGTAAGAGCCGTGCCAAATATAGGACAGTATAGAAGTTGGAGGCGACAGAACCCAACGTATATTGTGCAGGCTACAAAAATAGGCGAATCAACCAGAGAGAGCAACGGTGCATCAATGTACTCACCAAAACGCCATGTGGAAACGCATGTGCCGTCAGTAAAACAAGTGGACATTTTGAAAGGTTTAAACAACCGTAAAATCCAATGTTGCAAAAGCCTGAACCAGCGTGTTTTCCGGTACACTACAAGGGCCTCCACTAGAAGGCTGAAGGATGGAAGCCTTCGATGGAGCTGTTAGTGGGGGAAAACGGAAGGTGAGGATGAGTGCGAATAGTTGCATGGACCTGAGCAAGGGCTTCCAAGGTGGGGGGTGTAGCAGAGTTCGCTGGGTCCAGGCTTTTTTAGTTATTATTTATGGTGATCGTGTGGAACACAGTGCATCATCGGCGGACCATCGGGGCGGGCTGGTCAGACTGCAAAAACCTGGCTAGTCCAGATAAAAGGCCGACAGGACCTTCCCTTTACTGCAGACCCGACGGTATCCTTGGGAGGTGTCACTCCCCTCAGCCGCATTTCAGTCTACGGCCCTTCTCCCACGAAGAAATCCGGGCGTACTCGTCAGCAGCGCCTAGCCAAGCGTTTGGGGACCAACCAGTTCCTGGCTGTCTGCGGCCTAGGGCGACTGACTGTTCCTTAGGTCAGGAAGGGGGCCTTGGATCGGCTGGTGAGTTACTCGGAAGTTGCGTTAAGCCGGTTGGCGATTCACTCACGGGTTGCGTTGGCAGTTCTGCGGTTGAGTTTCTGTAACGTAGAACTCAGAGGGGATGGGCAAGGGTCGGGGAAGTGGCTTTTTGCCGGAGAGGGTACATGTCATGCATGATAAAAGCAAATAGGCCTTTTAGGTTTTCAAAATGTTTTGGTTTTTTGTCGATTTTGCATAACGTTTGTGAACAAGACGCACGATCACCAATAAAGATGAAAAAGGCGTGTTAATGGAAATAGCAAACGTTTACAAACTCTGAAAAACGGACCGGACGTTTGACTTGTCTCTCGGGTCGGTCAGTTACTTGGGGTTGAGGCAGGGTAGGTTGAGAGTCAAGGGGAACGGAGGGTTTCGGGATATCCAGTGCTCGGGAAGTCATCGCAGGTGCGAGTGCTTGTGCGATAGCATCAGGATGAGTTGCAAGTGGTTCTTTAAAGAAAGCCACTTTCACGCGGTCGATGGACACCGTTGTTCGGTGACCATTATGGTCTAAAGTGAAATGTTTCGGCGTTCATTGCAGGACTCTGATTGCACCAGTGTAGGGAGGCTGGAGAGGGCGCCACACTGAGTCGGTGCGGAGGAAGACGTGAGTGCAGATAGAGAATCCGATGTGCAAATTTACATCTCCTGTCTGCTCACGGGACGAAGTCGGGCGTAGTGAACGCATGCGTTGAGCTAGGAGGCAAGTTACGCGGAGGCATACCCGACGATGCGGCAGAGGAAACGAATTCTCCTGGCAACTTTAGCGTTGTGCCCTAAACCGGCTCTGCTGGTGCACATTGCAAGTCAGCGTTGATGCTGCTGCGAATGCCTAAGATTACGAGCGGAACATTTTCGCTGCAGCTAGGGTCGGAGGATGCGCAGAGTGAGGCTTTAAACTGTCTATGGAAGGGTTCAACTTACGCGTTGGTTGATGGATGACACGCTGTGATATGAATGCGGCGACAGTCTAGAAAGTTGCAGAACATATCGAATTGTGAAGATTCGAAAGACGTTCCTCGGTCAGTTGTAATGGTGGATGGGCATCCGTAGTGCGAGACCCACCGGTCCAAGGACGCCCGGATAACAGTCTCAGCTGTGAATTTTGTTACGGGAATGGCTTCTGGCCATCTGGTGAAGCGGTCTACACATGTAAGAATGTATACGAATTTGCATGACGGAGGCAAGGGACACACCAAGTCTAAGTGTACATGCGAGAACCGAGAGTCCGGGGCAGGAAGTGAACCAAGAGGACTGCGGG